ACTATTACTGAATATTATCACATGGATGTGTTCAGGGCTGGACTCTTATAAGAGAAATTAAGTTTGGAGCCAAATAGACAATGTACACTTAAATTTGTGTGTTCTGTGTGTTCATCAAAACAATTTTTAATGGCTCCCACTGGATTTTTTGTACGTCAGGATAAGACCTACGTGTGTGCTGATTTTTATGCATATCGGTGAAAGGGCCCTGGGTGGCACAGTTTATGGGCACCTGAGGGGCCATTCTGCCATGCTCATAGTGGACCCCCAGAAAATACGTAATTTTTCGCCACAACTGACATGAGCACCGCGTTTCATGAGTTTTCGAGCATGTTGTGGCCTCAAAAAATGCTATTAATTTGGCACTAAAATATTAACCCTTACAGATACAATAGGGCCTTCGCACGGTCAGTGCTCGGGCCCTAATTATACAAATTAGAAAAATGACTAGGTGCTTGCAACACTAGGTCAAAAGTGACAGTTATACATTACACACAGATTAGATTACATGTGTTTACATCTGTATTAACACGTATCTAAAGCAGAACCAACTGCCTGAAGTTCTTGCAGTGCTTTCAGCAAATCACTTTGAGGATAAGAAGCAATGAGAAATAGAAACAATAACAGTGGTTCAATGTTATTCCAGTTGCATCGTCATTCAGATCATTAAAAAAAATACTGGCGCTAATTTTGCCAAATCCTTTCTTTCCACCGCTGTGTGACACTGACCCTCTGCCTTCTCTGTTCCAGCATGTGTTTGATATGAGTCATCATCAGACTGGAACAAAGGCAAATCAAACAGCACCCTTTCATTTTGCTGATATGTAAATCTACCTCATTTGGCTATCAAAGACTTGCCTCACTCTGCACATTTTGTTTATCGATAAATACTTTGATGGGGCAGCAGCAAAGGATGAGGTTTACAGTGCATCCAGATGGGGAAGGTAAGATAAAATCCACCACATCCGTATGCTTTTTACAGACATTTGGTCAAGATTTTCAGGCTCAAAATAAAGAATTTATATTGTGTAATCTAAAGTTTTCTCTTACATTTTTCAACAGATCACATTTTTCGAGGAGAAGAATTTCCAGGGCCGCTGCTACAACTGTAGCAGCGACTGTGCCGACCTGCACACGTACTTCAGCCGCTGCAACTCCATCAGGGTGGAGAGTGGTGTGTGGGTGATCTATGAGAGACCCAACTACAAGGGTTTCCAGTATGTCCTCACCCCCGGGGAGTACGCCGACAGCCAGAAGTGGATGGCCTTCAGCGACAACGTGAAATCGTGCCGTGCCTTAAAGAATGTAAGAGTCCTCATTCATTCTGCAGGCATTTACTGGAAGGCTCAGAAACATGACTCCAAATGAAGGCTACTGTTGCTCCATGTCTGCTGGTTGTGAAAACTGTCAGAATTTGCTAATACATTAGCCACAAAAAATCTGATGTGTAGGACTGTTAAAAATAAAAAAATGGATAAAAATGTTAGCAAAATAATTAGCTAAGAGTAAAGATACAGAATAAATGTACTAATTCTATTTGAAGTCTAGTCTCAAAAATGCCAGCAGTTGTAATAGCTTACTTTTACATTATGTGTCTTGTGTTTGTAGGTTTATGGCAGTGCGTGGAAGCTGAGGCTGTATGAGAGGCCAGACTTCAGAGGGCAGATGGTGGAGTGCTCTGATGACTGTCCTTCAGTGTATGATACCTACAAGCTGCGTGAGGCTTACTCCTGTGTGGTGATCGATGGCACCTGGGTGTTCTACGACCTCCCCAACTACAAGGGGCACCAGTACCTTCTAGAGCGGGGCGAGTACCGGCAGCATGGTAACTGGGGGGCGTCCTCGCCTGGAGTCGGCTCCTTCCGCAGGATCACAGAGTTTTAACTTTACCTCGGCTTTAGCCTTGGCCAGAAAGTGATTCAAAACCTTTCCAGATGCCTAAACTGACACCATCAATAAATGAGAAGCAAACTCTGACTGTTCTTATGGATTTTATGTAAATATGGTTCATACTAGACCTAATGACACAAGGTATTTACAACAGACCCCAGTGAAAGCTATTATGACAGGTCCTAGCCACCGTATATTGTATTGTCTCGTCACATGGTTACATCAACATTCGACAACATCAGCATATATTTTATCCAGAAATCATCATTTGATATCTGTATATGACAAAAATAAAATAAGACATTATTCATACACTCTGTTATAGATTGGTACTGACTATTTTCCAAAAGACTCAATAAATAAAAAAAATAATTAATAAATCCAAATAATTCAATGAGATGAGATATGTGTTTGATCTTGAGACTACGCAATAATGAAACATCTCACGATAACTGGCTAAATATGGCTAATGGTTTCTATTCCAAAAAAAACAGGACTGCACCTCATTCCAATGGTTTATATAGTCTAACTTCAACCACTGAGGAGGGACAAATCAGTGAAATCATTTGCTATGAGAACAGTAATAAAATCTGTCCTGTGGCTTGTCGAAATTTATAAAGAGAAGCGGCAATAACAAGAACATTGTTCTTGAAAGCAGTGGAGATGAAAGGGGATTATTTCCGGAAATTATTAATGAATCAGTTTTGGCCTTATTTTATCCCTCTTACTTGCCTTCAGACAATTTGCCAAAAGAATTACACACATATATATGCTAATAGACCAAATAGGTTAGGGTGCACGAATGCTGTTGATTGTTAAATATGAAAATATAAAGTATTGCCTGAGGGTGGTAACAGGTGAAAGGTCATGTAGTGTCCAAAATGGAAAGGATTCATCCCCTAAAATAATAGATGACCATGTTTCTTGTGCACAAGTGGAAATATTGTCCTGAGGAAGGGTCAGGTGGGTCACCAAACTAAATAATTATATATATAAAATACAAAAATACAAATTATATATTTTGTCATTGCAGGTGGATTCGCTTTTTTTGACGCTTATAGCTGCATCTCACAATCTTCATTAGCAGTTGGAGAGTAAGATCATCTCTGTAATGGTCATAGGTGAAACTTGGATTAAGATTTTTTGTCCAACTACTATTTCCAAGGTCAAGAATGTCCCTTGTTTAATATGAATCAGGCATGCAGTCCTGTAAAGTCTCTGGAGCCTTCCTGTTGTGTCACTGACTCAGCTCAAAGCGTTTCATATCAAACCAGATGTCCTGCAGTGGCCTTGTTTTTGTCAGCAGGCTTTGCTGCATCCAGTGGCTTTCGGATGCTTTGCACTTTGCATTTGCATTGTTTAGGGAAACAGGATTCACTGCTTCAGAACAATGTGATAAGCCCGGATAAATATTTGAACCGCTGATTGAATAATCCAGTTCTCACAAAGCAACCCATGTGCTTAGTTTTATTGTTCCTGTTCTGTATGAAGAGAATATTGGAGATTGCTGCTTTAATGCTTTATAGAACCCCAAACCTCTTAAATAATTATAGAGAAGGTTTTACATAGAAAAAACACATATTTAGTGCTTATATTTAATGTAGTACAACACAAACTATTCAGTATTTTCAGAGATAAATATAATTGTGTGCAAACTATCTGCTTCTAAACTTTATTTTATTTTATTTTATTTTTATTTAACCTTTATTTAACCAGGAAAAGTCCCATTGAGTTACAGTAACTCTTCTCCCAGGGAGTCCT